AGACTGACATCCATTGCACATGGTAGGCTGTATCAGAGCCGGATGAAGAAAGCGTTCGACAAGAAGATTAGACCTCGAAGCTTTCAGACGGGTGATCTTGTGCTGAAGAAGATTCTCCCACCGCAATCGGATCACAAGGGCAAATGGACTCCCAATTATGAAGGTCCATACGTCGTGAGAAAGGTCTTCTCCGGAGGAGCCTTATTGTTATCCACCATGGATGGTGAAGACTTTTCGTCCCCTGTGAACTCGGACGCAGTTAAAAAATACTTTGCTTAAAATTGACCCGCTGGACAGTAAAAAGAGAGTCCAGGCAAAAATGGGGCATCCTGGCGAACCGAAAAACAGAATAAAAAGGTTCGGGCAAAAGTTAGGGATAAAATGAAAAAAATGTACACCCGCGAATTTGAAAACCTACACCGGGCGGCTTCGGCAAAAAAGGGTATCCCGGTGAATCGAAAACCCGCAAAGGGCGATTCACGCAAAAGTTAGGGATTTGAGAAGCAAATGACTGCGGTCCAAGTTTGATTGTTAGCGGTTTGGGAGCATCTGGGGGTCAATTATCCAAAGCAATTTCTTCCGAAGACAGATATCGGGAAAGCGGAGTCCGGCGAGTCATAGGAGGATCGGTTCATGGTATTCGTCTGTAACACGTTGCTGACATGTGTACAAATTTTATTCTGTATATTTGTATACTTCTGCATTTTGTTTATGTGTGACTACCTCTTTTCAGAAGTTGCATCTGATGTACAAATCTTGCCTATTCTCAGGCCGTTATCAATAAAGTGTTTTATTCAGTGTAGTGTGTGACTTTGGTTTTAATTTTTTTACAGTTTTGTTTGTAAAAAACGCCGATATTTTGATAAACTTACATGCGTGTAAACAGGCGGGCCTCGGCCGATGATGGTTAAAACCAAAAATTACCTGAATGGTTGTCGTGGGTGACTACCAAGATGTTCTTTTTTGCATAGATTGCCTTGTGTTTGCTCGTTGACTTATGCAGGTATTCAAAAGCTGGCAAAGTTCCCCGCCAGAGTCCATGGCCGGCTGGTACCCTCTCCAGAGGATGAATGTTGTGTCCTTCCCCAGTGAAGTCGCCCCAGGAAAAATTGAATGTTGTCTCCCCAGGAGAGCGGAGATTGCGTCAAAGGAAAAGATAATGCAGCCTCAGTAGTTCAGAATTAGCTTATCAAGCAGAGCAGAGTCCTCCTCAGCGAAGGTCAAGACAAATGTGATTAGCTTCCCAGAAAGTTCTTGTGCAGTGCAAATCAGAATGTGTAGTTCAATCCCCAGCTCAGTGATAGCGGGATGATTTCCCCAGCTCAGTGATAGCAGGAGAGGTTCCCCACAGAGTGTGATCAGGTGGTTGGAGCTGCTGAAAGGAGTTTTCCCGAGCACGATTGTCCTTTCTTTCCCCAGCAAGTCGCTCTTCCTCGTCAGGAGGATCGTCCTCAGCAGATTTTGGAGTTTTGAGTTCGTGAGCTATTTTCCTAGCAGGATGGTTATCCCCAGCGGAGTTAGTTCATCTTTCCAACATTTATTTTGTTGGAAGCGTATCGGTAGTATTCCGGTCATCCCCAGCGGATCCAGTTTGTCTTCAGCATTTATTTTGCTGAAGCAACTCTTTGCATAAATATGCATCATGAGCATTTGCATTTCACACGAGTACGCAGCATTTCCATGCAGTATGGAAGCATTACGTCATTATCAAACGTGCATTGTTGAAACATAAGCCAGGTGGTTACCTCTTCGGTTTCTGATATGTTGTTCCCTGTCGATAAGAGAAATCGTGGTTTCAGGAAGATGTGGATTTTGCGGTCAAGGTACGCAGTTCGTCGTATTTGTCCCGATCTAGGGGGTTCATGTCGTAAGGCACGCAGTGATCGTGTTGATTTTGAAGTGTTGATTTGTGGTCCAAGTACGCAGTGATTGTATTTGTACCATATAGGGGGTTCATGTCGTAGGACACGCAATGATCGTGTTGATCTTGGTATGTGTATCTATGGTCGAATGGCGCAGTGATCGTATTCGTCCCGATCTGAGAAGATTGTTTTGTAAGGCACGCAGTGATCGTGTTGGTGTCGTCTCGGGGTTTTATTGGGCAGGGCACGCAGTGATCGTGTTTACCATGTCGTGTGATGTTGTTGGTCGATATACGCAGTGATCGTATTCGTCCGTTATACACGCAGTGATCGTGCTCATTCGGTTTTGTTGGTCGGTGTACGCAGTGATCGTATTTGTCCGTTATACGGTTTGGTTATGGGGTGAGGCACGCAGTGAACGTGTTCATCTGGTAGTTGGTGGCCGAAGTACGCAGTGATCGTATTCGTCCCAGGTTTGAAGTTGTGTCACAGCGCGCAGTGATCGTGTTTTTCCTCCAGTCAAGAGGGCCGTGACATGAAGCGCGCAATGATCGCGTTTAACCTATGTGGGGTTAGAATATGCAGTGATCGTATTCGTCCAGTTATGTGGGTTAGTTGAGATACACAGCGGGCAGTGATCGTGTTTTTCTCCAGTCAAGAGGATCGTGGCTCAGAACACGCAGTGATCGTGTTCAAACACGCAGTGATCGTGTTCAAGATACGCAGTGATTGTATTCGTACAGCATGCAGTGATCGTGCTGATAATACCATGGGAACTTGTGATGCGGGGCGCGCAGTGATCGTGGCTATCGTATCTGTTGGTTTTGTTGGTCGGCATACGCAGTAATCGTATTCGTCCTATTACATGGGTTGGTGACATACGCAGTGATCGTGTTGACATCATTTTGGGGGTTTGTCGGTCAATACGCGCAGTGATCGTGTTTGTCCTATTGCAGCACACGCAGTGATCGTGTTCATCATATTGGTGGTTGAAGTACGCAGTGAACGTGTTCGCCTCTTCTATGTGGATTTATTCCGCCTGGCACGCAGTGATCGTGTTTACCTCATCCGGTTGGATTTATGGTCGATGTGATTTTGGTTGTAACGCAACACGCGGTGATCGTGTTTGTCCCGGTAAGTGGTTTTGTTTGTGGCATCGAAACACGCAGTGACCGTGTTCGTCGCAGTTTTGTGGATTTATGGCGTACGACATGTAGTGATCGTGTTCGTCGTGTCAGATGTTCCCCTAGCAGAGTTGCTTGGTCAAGCACTTCTTTTTCTCCCCAGCCGAGTCCTTTCTCAGAGTGCTGTGGGAATGGCATGACGCAGATTTTGGGTAGTTACCCACAGTTACCCCAGTAGAGACGTAATCCCCAGTGGAGTGGTCTTCGACGAGATACTTGGTTAAGTTCCTCGTAGTCCCCGTCAGGGTATTCGTTGACAAGTTGCTTGGTTAAGTTGCTTGTATTCCCCCATCTGAGTCTTTCTCAGGATGCTGTGGAGTCAGTATTATGAGACGGTAATGCAGATTTTTTGGGTGGTTACCCGTAGTTCCCTCAGTAGAGTTATGTGCTCCCGCAGGGTGTTGCTTCATTGAGTTAATTGTTTAAGTCTCTCATAATCCCCAGCAGGGTATTCGCCACAGGAGTTGTTTGGTTAAATTCCTCGTATTTTTAACAAGGTTATTCTCGTTAGGGTGCTTGGTTAAGTTCCCAATTTCCCCAGCAGGTGTTTTGACGGCAGTTGTCGGAATTGGCCCCTCAGAGTTACTTAGTTAAGTTTCTCCTTTCCCCGCAGAGTCGGTTGTTCATATCTTCGAACATTGCCCTGCTTGGTTGAGTGTTTGCTCGTTTCTTCAGGATACGGAAGGTTGATCAGTGAAGTCAACACAAAATACGAAGTGGCTTCAAAGATCTAGTACGAAGTGGCTTGTTGATGGTGATCGCAATACAAAATACTACCATCTTAAGACAGTTAACAAAAAAAGAAAGAATATAATTACCATGTTGAAGAATGATGGTGGCCAATGGATTGAAGACCATGTTCAACTCCAAACCATGATCAAAGATTACTACAAAAACCTCTTCGCTGCTAATCACATGTGGATTGATTAGAAGCAAACTGATGTTATATTCCCTACTGCGTATCTCCAAATTCATAGAAACTTCTCAATTTGGTAAATACTTGGGGTTCCCTTTAAGTGGGAAGAATTTGAAAAGAGCATACTTCCAATACATAATAGAACAGGTTGCTATAAAGCTTACCAACTGGAAAGCTAGCTCTTTATCCTTGGCTGGTCGCACAACTATTGCCAAGAGTGTTTTAGAAGCCATTCCAATCTAACCGATGATGACAAATCTTCTTCCTAAGGCTTGCATTCTAGACCATATTCAATCTATCCCAGAGAACTTGCAGGGTGCTAAGGTGAGGGGTTTATTGAATGATGGTGGTGATTGGAACTGGTCAGTTATGAAATAGTGGATACCATCTGAGATTAGAGACAAAATTACAAGCATTCAACTCCCTAATGATATTATTAATGTTACAACCGACATGCTTGTGATGGATGGATTTGCTTTTGTTGATGGATCGATGAAACACTTTTATGATCTTCTTGCGAAGCATGATCATTATGAGGCGGACCAAGATTGGAAAGTTATTTGGCGGCTTAAAGTTCCATAAAGAGTAAAATATATTGCATGGATGTTGAAGCACGATCGTCTCCTTACAAACCGGAATAAGGATAAACAAGGGTTGGGTTCGGCTGCTTGCAAGTTGTGTAGACATGCTATAGAATCCATTATGCACATGGTTCATGACTGCCCTAAAGCTATGAAAGTTTGGATGACTACAGTCCCAATGGATATTTATTATGAGTTTTTTTAACCTTGAATTGGAAGAGGGGTTCAACTTGAATATTAATTGGAGAGCTAATAAGGAAGGTGGGTGGAATCAATTTTGGGAAATGGCATGTCATTCGATTTGGTGTTGGCGAATAAAGAGGAACATATGGAGGAATTTGTTAGACCGTGGAACCCGAGCATGTATGTATCTTTACGGTCGAAAAATTATGGTGATGCCTTGGCCATGAATAAAAAGGTTGTTGGAAGATCTAAAGAGACCAGGTTAGTTGAGTGAATGCCTCCTATAGCAGGAACGAAGAAGCTTAATATGGGTGGGGCTTGTATTGAGGGTGTTAGTGCTGGTTGCAGGGGACTGGTCATAAATGAGGAGGGTTGTTTGATGGGAGGATTCTCCAAGAATGCAGGGAGCTGTAGTAGTTATATGGCTGAGTTATGGGGTCTTCTTGAAGGCTTGATTTTTATTTTAGACCTTGGGTTCAGGAGAGCCGAAGTTAATACGGATTCCTCTGAGATTGTCGTGGAAATAAATCAGGGAAGATCTAGGAGAAGTGATAGGGTGGAGTTGCTCAGGAAGATTGAAAGTCTGTTAGATCGTTTTGATGAAGTTGTTGACTTACGTACGTTTAGAGAAGCTAACCAATGTGTTGACGCCCTTGCTAAAACTGGGTGTAGATCAAATGAAGATATGCATTGGTTTTCTACTGCTTCTAGTTTTATTGAGCAATTGCTTTTAGAGGATATCTTAGGAGGTTACACCCTTAGGGAGGTGTCTTTGTAGTTTGTTTTCTTTGGGCTTTGGCCCTCCCCTTTACCAAAAAAATAAAAAATAAAATAATCAAACACAATATTCAATGTTCCAAATAAATTAATACAAGTGAGAAAAAAACATGAAAGACATGAATCATAGTACCAAATTCAAAAAACTAGAGAATAATAAAAATAACAATATAAAACACATGGGAACAAAATAAAGTGTAGTCATGGTATTAATTTGAAAAGAAAAAAAAGAAAAAGAAAAATAGAAGCAACAATATTTGTAGCATACGAGGTTGACTTGAGAGAAAAACAAACTCTCAATCGCAAAAGATAAAACTCCAACATAAAAAAATAGAGCAATTGGATTGAAAACCTAAACTTTTAATATTTTCTCAAGCATAAATTATGTTTGTTTTATTAATTACTGAGGTTAAGTTTTTCAATATGGTAAATTATATTTTACTCCCTTTGAAAAAATTCAAGTTTATAAAATCATAATGACGGGAGCATAAACACTAAATATTAGGTTGTAGGTCATCTTTATTTTTCACATATCAGATTTAAATGTTTAGTCTATGAAGCCAAGAGCTAGGGAAGAGTTAGCATTCATCCAAAGTTTAACGATAAAACAAAAATCAAGTTTATGCTTAATAATAAGTCCCTTAAGGGCCAAATTTGTTGGAGAATCGGCTAAGCCCCTTACATTCCAAATTAGACACTTCGTTAACAAGATTCGAAAACCACAAACTTCAAGCTAGTGTTGTGTTTCAGCCTATTAGTTGTTGTCAATTTCTTTGGTTTTCTCTTTGAAATAACTAGTCGAAACGATTGATTGTTTTTAGCAAGAGGATCTTATGAAGATTTGACTTCATTTTCATCAAACTATGACATATTAGCCCATTATTCTTTAAAAAAATCCATGTCCCATTGAACTACTACAAAACTAATATGCGTCTAAGATCATAATAATCTTCAAGTTGTTCTTCATGGTCTAGTTGAGTGGCACCGATAATTCCGAGTTAGTGGAGCTAAGAATGTCATCATAGTTCATTAGATTCTGGTTTAAATGCAAATAAACCACTGTTAGCTCATTTCAAGGATTTATGATAACCTAATCTATGTTATACGTGTCATTAGAGATTGCGCTAACATTATGGTTCTTGCTGGATGAAGGAGCATTTAACTCACAACATTGGGGGTTGAGTTCACCAAATCAATTAGTAGCAATAACTTTACTGCTCTTGGTTTGAACATAAGCTTTATTTTTCTCCTGCATAGGATGCCTTCTATCAAAAGGTTATTTCTTGATCAGAGGTGGTCTTACCTCTTTTGCAATTATAGGCATTATGGTTAATAACCATACAATAATTGTAGTATTCAGGTTTTTTTTCATAATATACTTATACAGAAAGTAAAATGATATTATTTATACCAAAATTTTGTGTCTTAACTGTTGAGAAAAATTCATGTCTACCAATATGATAACAAAATGACCAAAAACACAATGAAACTTAAGTCTATTGTTGTCATTATCAGTCTAAATAGGGTTCCAATTCTACAGGCTATTTCAAATAAAATTTTAGGATGCCTTGGGATAAACCATATATATGAATCAAAACCTGAGCAAATGAATGAGGTTGTAGTATAAGAATGAAGTATTTACTCCAAGTAAACAACTTGAAATAACTAGGATTGATGTTCCACAATGAAACAAATTTCACACTTCGAACATCTTTAATATTGGAGAATGATAATCCATAGAAACCCTTAACAAGAGAAGTTACCCCTATATCCCCAACGATTATCATAATATTGATAATTTGGTGTACAAAACATTGATTTTTAACGATAACAAAGATTGTGTTTGCATGACTCCAACCCCACAAGATATTCATTTTTTTGGGACTTTATTATGATTCTACCTCATTTTATGCAAGGTTAGGACAAGTGACAAAGAGAAATGCACATATATTGTTTACAACTTGAGCACAATTTTAGGTAAGCGTAGTGATTTGGGAATTCTTGGTGGAGACATATTTGTGAGGAGGAAATCTAAGACAACGTTAAATAATTGAAACTAATGACAGGGTGATGGTGAACACATTAAGGACAATGGATGATCAAAACTTGAAGGTTATACAAGTCTTCTAATTTTTCGTTAAAGCAATAATTTTATATACTTTGCAAAGCAAAACTTGATGATATATTTACAATTTTAGTATATTATGTTATAATGTCAATGCCCTACACATTCAACACCAAAGTGCATTTTTTTTGTTAGGTTACTATCAAAGTATAATGTATTGTTGCTTAGTTAAAGTTATAATCATTTTCTATTTCTCCTTTTCATTACTATATTTTGAATAATTTCAAAACATTTAAAAAATAATTAGATCTACAAAATACTTAAATTATTATATTTTATTTGCAAAACTTTGATAAATGATAAATAAGAGGATAGAAAATGGAAAGATCTTCACACACACGTGTAGCGGGGAAATTTATGAGTGTAAGTTATTGATTAACTTAACTCAAAAAATGCAAGAGTCGTCACCGCACTGTTATTTTATCCAAAAGGAAAGGAAAAAGAGCGAACAAAACCTAAACAAGAACAAACAGAGAATGGGTAATGGGATTGCTTACGCTAAGGGAAGGTGTTAGCATCCAAAACGTCTATAGTACTCTATAGGAACCCTATGAAATATCTACGCTTTTTGGTTTGAAAATGTTTGTTTGAAATGAGATTAGGGAGATATTTTTGTGTTTGGAGAGACTTATTGCATCATGCCTATGTACCCACAAAGTGCAATATAGGATCAAAACCCCGTAGCTTGTGATATAAATAACAAAATTGGCTTGTTTTGATTGATTTTAAATGTAAAGACAAGTCGTCATTTTAAGGACAAAACTACGACTAATCGCCCACAAGTATAAGACAACATTTGCATCACCTAAAGATGGAGGGTTTTGTTTGGATTAAAATCAACAAGTCTATCACTCGACATCTAAGTGGAAAATGTCAATATCTTGAATACTATGGGGAATAGGAGAATTACATCTCAACTATTAAAGTGACTCATGTCTAAACTTTATGAAGAAAAAAAATTTTAAAGTGCACAAAGGCACCAAAAGAGTGAATGAGTTTTTGTATTTTTTGTCTTTTGGAATTAGTCAAAGTATGATTAACATTAATTGACATTTATTAAAGAAAAAAAGTTTTAAAAAAATCAATTAACAAGGTTTTTTTTATGAAAAGATTTAATTTTGAAAATAAGAAGGTTTTGAAAAAGGGAGAAGATTTTGAAAATTGAAGAAGTGGTGGAGAAGAAGTGACTACCCTGGAAAGCAAAATAGGAGTTAGAGATAAGAAAGATTTAACCAAAAGATAGCAAACTTCATAGCAAGCCAAATAAGAATTTCTTTCATCTTGAGCATAAGCCAATAAGAAAAGCCAAATAAAGGCCAAGATCTCAAATCCATAATAATCAAAGCATAGGGAAAGAGTCATAATTCTAAGTCCAAGGATGCAAGAATAATCCAAGAAGTCCAAGGTCTAGGTCTACCCACAAGCATAACCACAAGATTTAAGCGAACTAAGTTTTTAGAGGTTTAATCTTTTATTAATGTTTTTTGAACAAAATATGGTCAAAATTGACAAAGGAAAAAAGAGCAGAAGTATAAACAATAATATGGTATGATATGATAATAATGAAGCATAAAAGTAAAAAGATAGGGAGCGAGAAGGAAACATAAACAAAATTAGTACAATAATATGATTAGTATAATATATATAATAGTATTATCAATCTTGATGAAGAACAAATTGTCAAATTATGGAGAATACTCGACTAATCGTCCATAAGAATGAAAACATAGTCTCATACATTACCATGGGGAGGGCTCTAACTCGGATAAAATCAACGAGTATACCAACTAACCCCCACGGATAACAAATGATCCAATTATTTCAAACTACGCTATGAAAATTAGGAGAATAACATCTCGCTTACAAAATTGACTTAGTTCCATTTTAGGGACACTTTAGCGCTATGTTAAGCAATCGTAATCGAGCTTATGTAGAAGCCACGACTATCTGAGGTTAGTCAATAATAATATTTTTTCTAATGTATGCTAGAGAGGCGATATGTAGATCATCCTCCGAAATCAATATCGTACAAAAAGAAAATAGGTAATATCTCATCTTCGTCAAGAACTTGAAACAAGTTCCAATGATATTGAAGAGTTTCATTGATCAAAAGAAAAAAAGAGAAAACAGTAGAAGGGAAGCCAAATTGAATTACAATATTTGGATCATTCCATCTTTAAGTTCTGTCACTCTTCTTGGTGGATTAAGGCACTAAACCTATCACTAATTCAAAGCACCTAATATGAAATCAATGTTCCATTTAAAGATAGTTTTGAACTAATGAAGGTTTATCCAACCTCATCAACACCCAAAATCCATGGAATTTAAAGAGAAATTTGATCAACAGACATCACAATTTAAGGCAAAACAAAAGGAAATGGAAGAAGGAAGAAAAGGAACCAAAACAGTCCCAAAACAGAGCCAAAAAACACATCTTACACTGTGCAAATTGATTGCACGGTGCCAGACAACACATCTAGGCCAAAAATCACAGTGCAAATTGATTGCACAGGGGTGCAAATCGATTTGCACCTCCTATGACAAGAAAAAATAGTTTAAAAAATGCACAATCCTTAGTCAATCATTTCTCTAAACACCTCGTGATCAAGGATGTAATTGAGCACGAAAATTCAAGTAAAACAACAAAAATTAACACTAATGAAATACAATTTGTAAGATCCAAAGATCAAACAACAAGAATCAACAAGAGATCACATTATGGGAGATGAATCAAGCACAACAATGGCAGAACAAGGGTTTACCACTTCAAATTTTGAAAATGCTTCAAATCAACTTCAAGATCCACACTCCAAAGCCTTGATCTACAAAATTTGATGTTGAAGAAGTGTTTTGGTGGAGGTTTAGCTCAAATATTA